GTAAAGCACATTGATTTGCGCATGTGCCTTGCCTTGCCTTCCTTGATAGAGGTTTTTAGCCAGTTGGCTAAAACCCCCGGATCAAGGTTGGGCTTTTTAAGAAGAGGTTTAATTACAGCTACTTTAAAGGGCTGTGGCACATATCCTGTTAATAAAGACTGAATAAAGATTGATCATATCTGTTAAAACAGTGCTGACTAAGGATAAAGCAGCCTAGTGAGGATGGGGTCTAAGAGGCAGGTTGATGGTTTAGATGAAGAAATTATTGAAGTTAATTGGTAAAGATTGAGGGAAGCAAAGCAGTCTAAACATATATCTGGTTTTACAGTTGTTTCTAAGGTTCCTGAGTTTGCGCAGGGCCTTCCTGTAAGTTTTAAGACTATCTTGCCTAATTAAACAAGAATTTTCAAGTTTGGTGGAAAACCAGTTCCTCTCAAGTTTCCGTGATATTTGATTTAATTTGCGAGTTTCAGTATTATACCATGGAGCTAACCGTCTTTGTTTTATTATTTTCTTTTTTTAGAGGGGCTACAGAGTCGAGTGTCATTTGCAGCGAGCCTGCAGCACTATCAACAAGATGATTGATTTGGGAGGGACTGAAATTAGCATAGGAGTCCTCCGTTACTTTGTGACTTGATAATGAATTTAGAACTGATGGAATCGCATCCTTAAATTTAGCTACAGCACTATCAGACAGACATCTTGTATAGAAATTTTTGCCCAATGGCGTGTAGTTCAGCAATACAAACTCAAAAGTTATCAAACAGTGGTCGGATAAAGAGGGATTCTGTGGGAACACCACTAAATGTTCAATTTCAATACCATACACCAAAACAAGGTCGAGGGTGTGGTTAAAACAGTGAGTCGGTTCATGAACACTCTGAGAGAAGCCAATGGAATCTAACAGAGAGATAAACGCAGTACTAAAGCTGTCATTCTCAACGTCCACATGAATATTAAAATCCCCTATAATAATAACTTTGTCCATTTTAAGGACTAAAGTTGACAAAAACTCTGCAAATTCAGATAAGAATTCAGAGTACGGACCAGGTGCTCGGTACACTATAACGAAGAGAATTGGTTGCTCTCTCCTTACATCCCTCTCTCTCTCTCTCTCTCTTCTCTCTCTCTCTCTCTTTCACTCTCTTCTCTCTCTCTTTCTCTCTCTCTCTCTCTCTCACCCCAACCGGTCGAGGCAGATGGCCGCCCACCCTGAGCCATGGTTCTGCTCGAGGTTTCTGCCTCTTAAAAGGAAGTTTTTCCTTGCCTCTGTCGCCTAGTGCTTGCTCTTGGTGGGAACTGTTGGGCTTCTGTAAATATCATCACAGAGTACGGTCTAGACCTGCTCTTTTATGAAAAGCGCTGTGAGATAACTGTTGTTGTGATTTGGCGCTATATAAATAAAATTGAATTGAATTGAATTGCAGTGATTTCCAACTTGGGTGCAAAAGAACAAGGCTTTCAAATGAGTTATAATTTAGTTTAGATTTAGAGCTGATTAGTAGGCTAGAGTCGAAGATAGCTGCAACTCCACCTCCTCGGCCTGTGCCTCGAGGAATGTGAGTATTAATATGACTGGGAGGGGTGGATTCATTTAGGCTACAACTGCAGGCCAATGTGACCCAAATCTGTATTTTTATGCCCATATGTGACTCAGATCTGATCTTTTTATGACAGTGTGAACAGGCCAAGTCACATGGAATCTGATCTTTTCCAGTTCAGAATTGAGCTACTTCCATACAGAGGTGGGACCAAGTCATCGTTTTTCAAGTCCGAGTCCAGTCTCAAGTCAAGGACCAGCAAGTCAAGCCCAAGTCTTAAATTTTTGAGTTTCGAGTCCTAAAAAAGTCATAATGTGCTCTTCACCAAATTTAAAACCATTTAAAAAGTTTTTTCAAGTTAAAAATAAAACAATGTATTGAATGAAGCATTAGTGTTCATGTAGGGCTGCTAATTATTTTAGTCAATATTGAGATCACAATTATTTAACAGGATTAATCATTGCCTTAGGAAACAGTAAACTATTGAAATGTAATACTTTCTTTTTAAAAACTAGGCATTACTCCAAAATCCCAAATAGCCCATGAAATAAGAACAATTATCCAACATTATTAACTTGAAGCAGCATCTAGTGTGCAAGAGGACAACAGCAGCACAGTTTCCCCCAAGTTGACAGATTTGGGTGAGGGATGGGTCACTGAGGGGGCTGTGTGTGTGTGTGTGTGTGTGTGTGTGTGTGTGTGTGTGTGTGTGTGTGTGTGTGTGTGTGTGTGTGTGTGTGTGTGTGTGTGTGTGTGTGTGTGTGTGTGTGTGTGTGTACACGGAGGGGAGCAGAGCAGGTGAATTATTCGAGTTGACGAAGTTACGTTACAGAACGCTGAAATAAAACCGTGGTGTTTTGTTGGGAGATGCAGTGACATAAACCAACGGTGAGAAAACTATAAATTGCTCTGACGTTAGAAGACGCAGACACAGTGGAAACCGATCAGGTAAAGCAACACTGAACACACCTTTTAGGGAGGGCCTCAGCTGTGAAGGAAAGGGGTGCGTTGGATTTATAAAACAAAATGAGTGTCGCTATTATTGTTTTATCTTAATTAACTTGTTTTTTAATTGGTGGAAGCAGCTTCACTGAACAGCTGCAGCAGTCTCTCTACACTGTTTTGACCTGACCTTTCTTTTCTCCGTGAGGTGGAGAAATTTAGAAAGTTGCGTAGCGCTGCGTCAGGCCCCCAGCTGTTGTGCATGGATTAGCCTGTGCGTAAAATTCATCCAGCCAGAGGGAACGATCACGAACCGTTCACAGCGCGCCAGTAGTAGGCCTACTACACAACCCATTGTAGATACCGGAGATGGAGTGGGTTGCTGGGGGGGACAGGGCCAGGAGATCGCACAACGGCCAGGTGCGCTTCGGACGGTCGGTGATTTTTCCCTCTTGCTGGATGAAGCCACACGCTCCAGTCTAATTGAGCACCGCGCTATGTTGATGCGCTGCGCAGTTTTTTATATCATCATTTATATTCGGGCATGGGGAGTGTCAAGTCACGAGTCATTGCTGTTCAAGTCAAAGTTGAGTTGCAAGTCTTCTTTGATTTTGTCAATCCACCAGACACGGAACTCTCTTCTGAGTTACGTGCTTGCTACTTGTCTGTGGGGACACAGTGGGGAGAGAGAGAGAGGGAGGGTGTGAGTTGTGGGGCAGTTGCATTGTCCAGCGCCAGAAACGTAAAGAAAAGAACAGAAAGTTGTGAAAAAATCAGATCTGGGGAAAAAATCGGAATTGAGCATTAAGGCCTGCAGTCTGAACGTAGCCTTAGGCTAACATATTCTCTATCACCCAGCCAGGTTTCAATAAGACAAAATAAATCAATATCATAATCTGATATCCAACGAAGGTTAAAATCAAGGGCAACTGGACTTGGTTGAAGATACTGGAAGACGTTTCGTCCCTCATCCAAAGGACTTCTTCAGTTCTGACTGACTGGCAGGGAAACTCAGCTATTTAACCTCAGTGGGGTCGTTGGCCCGGGTCATCGATACCGCTGGTTCGTTAGTGTTCCTGGTTGATGTGATGACAGTCGTTACGGTCGTTAAGACTACCTTTGGCCAAGACTGAACGACCATCGTTGGTATCTTCACCTGAGGCCAATAGGTTACGCTTGTTGAGTTTCCTGGGAAGTGATGAAAGGACAGCATTGTAAGTGGGGGATAAGTGGTGGCGTAGACCCCCTCCCCTGTTTAATAACGGCTTCTCGACCCTGGTGTAGATGGCTTCCTTGACACCTCTTTCAAACCATCCATCTTCTCTGTCTAAAATGTGCACCTGGTGGTCCTCAAACGAGTGTCCTCTGTCCTTCAGATGTAAGTAGACTGCAGAGTCTTGACCTGAGGAGTTGGCCCTTCTGTGTTGAGCCATGCGTTTGTGTAGTGGTTGTTTAGTCTCCCCAATATACAGGTCTGTGCATTCCTCACTGCATTGAACCGCATACACTAGATTGCTTTTCTTGTGTTTGGATGTGCGGTCTTTGGGGTGTACCAGCATCTGTCTTAGTGTGTTCTTGGGTTTAAAAAACACAGGAATGTTGTGTTTGTTGAAAATCCTCCTGAGTTTCTCTGATACTCCAGACACGTATGGAATCACAATGTTGTTGCGTTTGACCTTCTTTTCCTCCTCCCCTGTAGTTTTGTTCTTGGATCTTGTGGCTGTTTTCACAAAGGTCCATTTAGGGTATCCACAGGCTGTAAGTGCCCCCTTCGGGTGGTTCTGTTCCTTCTCTCTGGCTTGGGCGCTTGTTGGTATGTTTTCCGCTCTGTGGTGCAGTGTTCTCATGACCCCTAGCTTGTGCTCCAGTGGGTGGTGTGAATCGAACAGTAGGTATTGGTCTGTGTGTGTGGGTTTTCTGTAAACACCAATCTGCAGGCTCCTGTCCTCTTCAATGTGCACAGCGCAGTCCAGGAAGATCAAACTGTTGTTGTGAACATCTTCTCGTGTTGTTACTGTCCACAGAGTTGATGTGTTCTGTGAAGGCTCGCACTGCTTGACTTTTAATTTTGACCCAGGTGTCGTCCACATATCTGTACCAGTGGCTCGGTGCTGTTCCTCTGAAGGAGTTCAGGGCTTTGTTCTCCACTTCTTCCATGTAGATGTTTGCCACAATCGGGGCTACCGGTGAGCCCATGGCACAGCCATGCATCAATAAGCCATCAATTAAAATTTTGAAAATCGATTTGTGAATCAATTCACAAAGTCCCAGATATATATCTGAACTCTATGGAATTTATCTGGTCAGCCTGGAGTACATGTTCTCCTTAACCCTGACACATCTGCACACCAACCTTTGATTATGTCAAAACAGACTTCCTCCCTCCAGAGATATCTTTAGACATCAAATATATAGGTCATAGTATCTTGGAAAAGGTATAGCTGTCCATATTTACAGGCAAAGGCAAGGATTTCCAAACCTTCATCACTAATTTCACCATCTGCTCTCATTTTCCAGGAGGTCTGGACCTGATCCTGGTGCCAGGCCTGGGTTTTGACCGGCTGGGGAAACGTTTGGGAAGAGGGAAGGGCTTCTATGACACCTACTTGGGGCGCTGCATCAGACAACCCAAGGGAAAGCCCTACACCATTGCCTTGGCCTTCAAAGAGCAGCTGTGTCAGGAAATCCCTATCGACAATAATGATGTGCTTGTAGATGAAGTACTGTATGAGGATGAAGAGTAGATAATCAGTCACTAGTCATGCTTCAGGCATTCAGAACTGGCTATATTTAAATGGCAAGGTCAGCCATAGGTTTATCCTTGTCTTTCCATTGAAAGATAATCAACTCTTTTTCACTGCAGACAGCAGAAATAGCCACATGGAACCAATAAGACTAATGGTGGTCCATTGAAATGGCATATTGGACTATTGCCGGTATTATTTCCATCTGGGGTTTTCCTGCTTTGACTTGATGATGTGAGAGCTATTAAAGGCAGGTTTTGCAAACCGCTAAATACCTGAAATGAAGAATTCACTTACAAAAAATATTAATGGACAGTTAAATGAAAATAAGTGTAAATAAAGTTATACTGGGAAATGCAGTGTTTTATTCCTGACAATACTGTATGTGGAGCAAACTTGTGACTTGAACAGGGGAAACCTCAGCCCAGAACTCCCCAAATACAGATACAAAGGCAAAAGACCTTAACTTGCCAGTGCAGAACTGACAAAAAGGAAGGAAAAATTTAATGTTTTTTTGTTGTCCAGCCAACTAAATTGTAGGCGGAATATTGGAATTGCGTGACTTCTTTATTTTTTTAATTAACTTATTTATCTCTACAAGTTTGAGCTTAAAAATTACCTTTGACCCTTATTCTGAAGTTAAGGTACCCTGCCTTTGCACTGTCTGCAGAATAAGGGTTCATGCCAAGGCAAAAGGCATTAACTTACATTTGATTGATCACTGATACTGTAAAGAATCAGTATAATGATAATATCTATATAAAATCTATAGATATTATACTGATTCTTTACAGGCTTAATTTAATACAAACATGAATATAATATAGCCTAATGTAAATAAGAATTAATTAGTGTACTTTAAGGTCACAAAGGTGCATTACCATTTCACATATCATTAAGACTTATTTTATAATCCCATTGTCTTATAGAATTGAAACAAAACACTATTTCTCTTCCTATTTAGGGCCCAAGCACGAACCGTGCGAGGTCCCTATTAAAACTGAAGGGATTATATATACACTGCTCAAAAAAAACAAAGGGAACACTAAAATAACACATCTAGAATGAATGAATTAAATAATCTCATTAAATACTCCTTTCTTTACATAGTTTAATGTGCTGACAACAAAATCACACACATGGAGGTCTGGATTTGGAGTCACTTAAAATCAAAGTGGAAAACCACACTACAGGCCGATCCAACTTTGATGTAATGTCCTTAAAACAAGTCAAAATGAGGCTCAGTAGTGTTTGCGGCCTCCACGTGCCTGTATGACCTCCCTACAATGCCTGGGCATGTTCATGATGAGGTGGCGGATGGTCCTGAGGGATCCCCTTCCAGACCTGGACTAAAGCTGGACAGTCTGTGGAGCAACGTGGTGTTGGTGGATGGAGCGAAACATGATGTCCCAGATGTGCTCAATTGGATTCAGGTCTGGGGAAAAGGGCGGTCCAGTCCATAGCATCAATGCCTTCCTCTTGCAGGAACTGCTGACACACTCCAGCCACATGAGGTTTAGCATTGTGTTGCATTAGGAGGAACCCAGGGCCAACCGCACCAGCATATGGTCTCACAAGGGGTCTGAGGATCTCATCTCGGTACCTAATGGCAGTCAGGCTACCTCTGGTGAGCACATGGAGGGCTGTGCTGCCCCCCAAAGAAATGCCACCCCACAGCATTACTGACCCACCGCCAAACCGGTCATGCTGGAGGATGTTGCAGGCAGCAGAACGTTCTCCACGGCGTCTCCAGACTCTGTCACGTCTGTCACATGTGCTCAGTGTGAACCTGCTTTCATCTGTGAAGAGCACAGGGCGCCAGTGGCGAATTTGCCAATCTTGGTGTTCTCTGGCAAATGACAAACGTACACAACCCCCACCTGTGGACGTCGGGCCCTCATACCACCCTCATGGAGTCTGTTTCTGACCGTTTGAGCAGACACATGCACATGGCCTGCTGGAGGTCATTTTGCAGGGCTCTGGCAGTGCTCCTCCTGCTCCTCCTTGCACAAAGGCAGAGGTAGCGGTCCTGCTGTTGGGTTGTTGCCCTCCTACAGCCTCCTCCACCTCTCCTGATGTGATGGCCTGTCTCCTGGTAGCGCCTCCATGCTCTGGAAAATTTTCGTATTTTATGGGTTTCACACATGGGCATTTAAAAATGGCTTGCTTTGAATTTTATGGTAATTTTTGGATGATTTACACACTCCATACTTTAACGAACTCCTCCTAGAGAATTAGTCTGACCAACTTCAGATTTTCGCTGTCTAGTCTAATCCCACTTACTATTAAAAGTTGTATAAAAGGTGAATTTTCGTGAAACCGTGTGCCCGTGGCATGGCATCCAAAATCAATGATTCGCCATGAAAGAGGAATTTGTTGTAAATTTAGTGTATATGCTCATATCTACATGCCAATAGTCAGTTATAGTCATAGCACCAAGTGCTATGTTGCACCACAAAGGGGACACAGGAAGTGATTAACACCTTTGTGCAGCATCCGAAGCGACTGGCAAATTCACAGCCACACCAGCAAAGCTTTAGAATCTGCAACACGGCCGCCTCTACCTGCTTGCAGCTTTAATTCTTTTTAGTCATACTGCGGCCTAGACGGTAAGTGCTACAGATACAAAACTTACAGGGTAGGTCCAAACCACTGCACGTACCTCAGGACTATTTCCTATTGGACTTTTTATCCCACAAAATCGTGAAAACTAAAAAATCTATTTAAATGAACTCCGAAACGGCAAGTTCGATTGGCTCCAAACTATGCACAGACAATCTCTGGACTAAGCTGATAAAGTTTTGTAGAGGAAATTTTGATCCGACACAAAATGTCCCAATTCACATTGACATGAAACTTTAGCTGAACGCTAAAAACAGGAAAGGATGTCATATCTTGGGTTTGGAATGGCCGATCAACACCAAACTTGGTGACCTTATGTGCCATGACTTGCTGAGGGGCTGTGCAAAACTTGATGCAATCAGCCCCTAGGTGGTGTTTTTTTACACAAAATATCTGTTCCTCTATAACCAAAAGTCGCATTGACATGAAACTTAAGCTGAATTGTTCAGGACGGTCTCCTGACTCCAGGCACAAAAGTTGACCCAAATATGCCCATAGGTGGCGCTGTTATTGCAGATTAAAGATGTTTTAAAAAGCCCATTGACTTAGATTAATTTTAAATCTCCATAACCACAAGTCCAATTGATACCAAATTTGGGTCATTTGATCCCCATGGGAGCCTGATGACACCTGAAAAATGTGGTGCAATGCACCCTAAAGGTGGCGCTATAATAGAAGCTGAAATACCATGGGAAAATCCTATTCATTTGAAAGGGATTTTGAACCATTCACATTTTGCCTCTTAACTACGCGCCATTACATCACACATTCATAAACCTTATGTCTACGTGTTTGGAGGATACTGTCTATTCCTATGGTATAGGACACGCCTCTGTGCGATAATGTTTTCATTTTGCAAAGTCGCGAAAACTCAGAAACCTATTTTAATTAACTCCTCCAAAGCGCTAAGTCCGATCAGCAGCAAACTTGGAATGGACAATCTCTGGATCAAGCTGATGAAAGTTTGTAGAGGAAATTTTGATCGCCTCAAAATGTCCCAATTATAAGCCAAGAAATGTTTGTGAGAAACGCTAAAAACAGGATGTGATGTCATATATTAGGTGGCCGATCTACACCAAACTTGGGGATCTTATCTGGCACGCCTTCCCGAGGGGATGAGGACCGCAGGTACTGTAACTGAGTGTAGGGATGGAGTAGATCTGTGAGGTACTGAGGTACAAGTCCATAGAGAGATTTGTACGTCAGTAGGAGGATTTTATATTTGATCCGGGACTTACCTGGCAGCCAGTGAAGCTTCTTCAGGATGGGAGTGATGTGAAGTCCAAGTTTTGTTTGGGTGAGCATCCTAGCCACAGAGTTCTGGACATACTGGAGTCTGTCAGTAGCCTTGCTGGGCAGAGGATACCGTTACAATAGTCAATTCGGGAGGTGATGAAGGAGTGGATGAGAGTCTCAGCTACAGAGTTGGAGAGGCACTGTCAGAGTCTGGAGATGTTCTTAAGATGGCAGTTTTGGTAGTGTTTTTGATGTGCTGTTGGAAGGAGAGAATGGAGTCCATGATGACGCCCAGGTTGCGTACTTGAGGGGATGCAGAGATTGAGCAGCCATCCACATCCAGTGTGATGTCCAACCATTTTGAGAAGTGACTGTGGGGCAAACAAACATCAGTGTAGCAGTGGAAGAGGAGTCCATGTTTCTGGATGATCATCCCAAGAGGTAGCATGTAGATATTGAATAGTAGCGGGCCAAGCACCGATCCTTGAGGCACGCTGTGTGAGACTGGCGCCAATTCAGAGCAGATGCCCTTAAAGTTGATGTATTGTTGCCTGTTGGTGAGATAGGATTGAAACCAGGAATACACAGTACCAGTGAGGCCAATGAGTTCAGAGAGGCGAGTGAGAAGAATGGAGTGGGAGACTGTATCTAAGGCTGAAGAGAGGTCGAGAAGAATTAAGATGCTGACATGGCCAGAGTCAGCTGCCATGAGAAGGTCATTTGTGATTTTGATGAGGGCAGTTTCTGTGCTATGATGTGTCCCTGAAACCAAATTGAAATGGCTCGTAGAGGTTGTGATTTAGCATATGATGGTTGAGTTGGGCAGCCACAGCTCTTTCCAATAACTTGCATAAGACAGCGAGGAGTTGATGACGTTGACATGCCTTGACCAAGGCAGTCGGCATTGGATCCTGTTTGCCGGTCGTGGCCTTAGCTTTTGACACTAGGTCAAGAACTTGAGCTGTTTTGAGCGGGGAGAAAGAGGAGATGCAGTCCTGTGATGTGGAGACAGTTGAAGAGTTCATGTCCAGCAGCGGTAGTGTGGTTGGGTGTGAGTAGCTGGACAGCTGCAGTTCCTGGTGGATGGTTTCTACCTTTTTCTTGAAGTATTCCAGGAACACTGGATCATAGGCCAGCAGCGTCAGATGGTTGAGGAGGGTCAGGTGGGCAGAGTAGGCGGTTGATAGTGGAAAAATTTGTTTAGGTTGATGTTGTTGGTTGCCAATGAGTGTCGAGTAATAGTTAGTTTTCGCTCTGGACAGAGCATCTTTGTAGGCTCTTAACATGGTCGTTGTAGGCTTCCTGGTGGACAGTGAAGCCAGATTTTTTATAGTACCTCTCCAGCCTCCGCCCTGTGGCCTTCATGAGGCGGAGTTCAGCAGTGAACCAGGGAGCGGGACAGGAGAAGGAGACAGATCAAGTGATGAGGGGGGCAAAAGGGTCCAGACTACGTGACAGGGCCAGGTTGTTGTGATTAACCAAGTCATCAACTGTGCAGTTTAGGGGATAGCTGATAAGATGGCCTGCAAGGGTACAGGATAGTTTAGGTATGCACACTTGTTTGATTGCAATATGCAATGGTCCTTTTCACACACTTCCTGTGTGTGTGCACAGAAACAGAGAACATGACGGCAAGGTGATCAGAAATAACCAGGTCAGCAGTTTGTAGATGGGTGGGGGTTGTACCTGTGGAGCATACCGGGTTCAGTGTATGACCTTTACCATGTGTAGGGCCGTTGACGTGTTGTATAAAATTAAAGCAGTAGTGACAAAAATTCAGCAGTGTAAACATCACTGGAATCAACAAGGATGTTAAAGTCACCAAGTAGGATGGTAGCTGGAGATGTGGGGCAAATCAGAGCAAGAAAGTCATAAAGCTCAGGCAGGTAGCAGATGACTTAAGCGGGCGATAGATGAGGACCACTTGTAGCTGCAGAGGCCCAGACACTCAAATGAAGAGGCGTGTACTGGAAATTCTTTTATCTGGATATCTGCATGATGTATAACAGCCAGTCCCCCACCATGTCCAGAAGTACGGGGCTTTTGAATGTAACTATAGCCTTGGGGGGTAGCTTGGTTAAGCACATGAAAGTCCATTTGGTTCTGCCAAGTTTCAGTCAGACACAGAAAATCCAGTGTCCTGTAAGTTATGATGTCGTGTATGAGTGGCGCTTTATTATTTAGTGAGTGAGTTTTCAGCAGCATAAATGAGGCAGACTTATGGACAGATGTATTGGCATGGGGGATGACATCAACAGCCTGTTTCAAGGGCCATAGGTTAAATGAATGAAGGTGCGGCTCACTCTGATGACATCATCGCTGAGTAGTGATACACCAAATCACAGGAGTAGCCTGGGATGTCTACTTGTAAACAAACTTATATCGGGCATTCCTGTGCACATGACTGAGAACCTTCACAGGCTCTGTGTGTATATTGTGTAGGCTGACCCCCCAACTATCTCCCTCTTAATGGCTATTTTTCTCTCTCTCTCTCTCTATCCCTCACCCCCAACCGCTCGAGGCAGATGACCGCCCACCCTGAGTCATGGTTCTGCTTGAGGTTTCTGCCTCTTAAAAGGAAGTTTTTGCGCCTCAAGGTTGGAATTGTTGGGTTTCTGTAAATAATATCTCAGGGCCAGACCTGCCTGTTTTATGAGCGCTATGAGATAAATGTTGTCGTGATTTGGCGCTATATAAATAATTATAATTGATAATTGATGCATTAAAACTATCTGCAGCTAAACAATAGCAAATCAGAGGTATTACTAATCTGTCCACCTTGCGCAACTGAAGTGCTCAGATACAAGCTGGGTTTCTTAATTCCCACACACCTCGCAGAAACGTAGGCGTTATATTTGACTCTAATCTTACATTTGAAGAGCAGGTCAAGAGCAGGCATGCAAACTGGTCAGGGGTAAAAAAGGTGAGAAGGATACGCAAGCAGAGAAACGTACAGAGACAGAGGCAAAAGGGGTCTTCTTTTAAGCTTACATGTTAAAATAACGTGCACTCGTCTATGGCAACAAGAGAAAGATACCGACACACATGGGCGTCACTTTGTGTTGTAAAGTAGTGGGGACATAAGGGCTCAGATTAGGGATGTGATTATACACTTAATTTATGACATTTGGCGATCCACCATCATAACTGGTGTCACAAGAGCGAGATGTGATGAAAATATTGAGCATTAAACACTTTTTCGTGCATTCTGGTGACATTTCCTGTCCTGCCTTTCCGACATCAATTTATGATGAAAACGTATTAGTATTACAGAATATAATGCAGTGCAGCTCTCAGGCATTCTGTGTTGCTTCCACATATGTTTTTCCTGTAGATCAACTTTTCTCATGTAATATCTTCCCTGCTGAATTAGCACACATGTAGGCATGATTTAGTCTTTCCTCCTCTTTTGTCTTGTTCACAGGGAGAGAACGGAAAATTTGGCCTAATAGAAACTGTGACAAGAAGTTACTGACTGGTGCTGCACGTTTTGGGGTCATTTTATAATTAGTAGCTTGTTTATTCTTACTTGAAAATTCAAATAAACCATTCTCAAAGCACTTTCATTGGTTCTTTGCCGTTTCATTGTAAGTTATTTTTCAAATTTTTTTTTTAACAAACCCTTTCAAAAAGTGACAGGGACATGTCCCCAGCGTCCCCAGTGTAAACCACACAGATGCCGACAAGTTTTATCCTGTTGATGTTAGCCTACATTAAATCTAGGTTGCTGTCACTGCTCTGAACAACTAACATTACTGGTTAATAACAGTGGGCAAAGTTTATTAGCTTTAGCTTAGCAACATTACTGGATCTGACAGGACAGTTAACATTGTAAGCTAGTTTACTTCTGTCTTAAATCATGCTTGCTTTCCGACGGACAGCTCGTTTGGCAGTCTTTTACTGTCCTCACGCAGTGTAGCGGACTAGAAAAAAGACCCGCCATATGCTGCCTCTGATTGGCTGTTGGGTGCTAGAGAGGAGAGGACTCGATAAATAAAAATAAATTAGGGCAGGCCTAAACCCTGTCTTAGCAATGACCGAACCTCCTGGATCAGAATTCTGCTGCCATGTTTTTAATGGGAATTAACAAAAGGGCAGAAGAACATTTTCCACAAATAGTTCATGAGACAGGTGCCAAAGAGATGGCCTGTATGGAGCTGCAAATGAACTCCCACACACTGTCTAATTTGCAATAATACATTTATTTATGACATTTCAGTGATAGTGATGACCTTGATCAGGCAAATGGTTTTTGACAGCCATCTTAAATAGGGAGTGGCTGTAAGTCTGCAGCCACTCACTTTCCCCACGTGCAACAGGAAGGCATAAATACCAAACATCAATTTAATATATGATAGTCTCCAGTGTCATACGTATGGAGCTAGAAAAGTCAAACATTTGTATAGTAATAATCATAAATGTACCCCAAAAGGCTTCCATTAAATGGGTAGAGTACTATAAAATCAATGGTTAAAGGCCACCCAAAGGCTAAACGATAAGATACATTCCCAAATATTGCAGGTGAACCTGTAGGGATACATTTAGATAGCAAGTGAAAGTCAGCATCAATAAATAAATAGAACCCTTCATGATAAATACAGCAAGGCCTCACAAAAATGTAAATGAGCAAATGCTACATCAATCTATACATATGTTAAGTAACAATGATCTAATTTATCTCAACCCTATCAAGACTACATACATTAAATTATGTAGGTAGATTCTACACGCTCCAAGAGGTAATTGCATAAAAAAGCATATTCAGCAGGTTACATTTGTGGATGAACTTAACATAGCATATAGAAAAAGTCAACACCCATAATAAATGTACTTAGAACCCTCCACAATACTACATGCGACAGATAAATATAACAGTCATTAAGGCCTCAAAAAATTCATGCATCAATGCATACATATATAAATGGACACAATCAACAGGTCACATTGGTAAATGAACTTGATAATATATGCACATATTCATATGTATCCAGGACTTTCTGGAGTGGGACAAAGAATCCCTCTGATTAATCTTTAATACAAAAAAGACATACAGAAATCAATCTATCAATAAAATATACAAAAAATCTTCAGTATAAGGGATCGAAGGAAAATGCTAAGAAGTCTTTCATTGTTCAGTCCCCTAGGATCCCATGTTTGAAGAGTATGACTCCAGTAAGCCTCATGCTGTTTGAGTAGTTTGTCATGGTCACCAGCCCTAGGTTGGTAACCTGTTTTGTACCACAGAAGTGATGTGAGCATCATTTAAAGTCATATCTGCAGGACAATCCAGATAGTTTCTGCGTATTGTGCTTTTGTGCTCACTGATCCACTGTTCAAGTTTTCTGGTGGTTTTCCATCCCAGGGTGTCAAATAACGATGGTGTGAGAAAGCCTGAAAAAGCATCAGTATTTGACACACAATGTACTCTTCAGCATCCATATGAAATGCCCTGGGCTTACTTACTCCAATGTAACTCATTTGTCATCTGAAACAAAAAGTCAGGGTTGAGTTGTAAGCTACATAACGTGACATATGTGACTTATGCCACGTTATTTAAACCCAAATCACAATCTTTATCTAAACCTGACCAAGTAGTTTTGGTGTCTAAACCTGACCAAAACCATGACCTTTTCCTAACCCTAATCAAGTAGTTTTGGTGTCTAAACCTACCCAAAACCATGATCTTTTCCTAACCCTAATCAAGTAGTTTTGGTGTCTAAACCTACCCAAAACCATGATCTTTTCCTAACCCTAATCAAGTAGTTTTGGTGTCTAAACCTACCCAAAACCATGATCTTTTCCTAACCCTAATCAAGTAGTTTTGGTGTCTAAACCTACCCAAAACCATGATCTTTTCCTAACCCTAATCAAGTAGTTTTGGTATCTAAACCTACCCAAAACCATGATCTTTTCCTAACCCTAATCAAGTAGTTTTGGTATCTAAACCTACCCAAAACCATGATCTTTTCCTAACCCTAATCAAGTAGTTTTGGTGTCTAAACCTACCCAAAAACATGATCTTTTCCTAACCCTAATCAAGTAGTTTTGGTATCTAAACTTGACAAAAACCATGATCTTTTCCTAACCCTAATCAAATTGTTTTGGTGTCTAAACCTGACCAAAACCATGACCTTTTCCTAACCCTAATCAAGTAGTTTTGGTATCTAAACCTACCCAAAACCATGGCTGATGTAGGCTGGTATGGTCTAGACAAAGGGCTTAATGAAGTCCACAAATTTTGACAATGCAAGTATTAATTACAGTGTGCACTCCAGGGAGGATCTATCAAACAGATGTTTGTTTATTCATTTTAATGGCTTTTATCCATTTTTGCAAATTAGTTCTAAGTAGTATGATATGTGAGAGGTAATGTTTTGATTTGTTTTACACAATGGTATGAATTTCAAGTCGAGTTTCATCCTTCTGCCATCTGAGTCACAATTTCTCATTTCTCTCATCCAGTTAATGTGCATACACATGGGTCAAAGTTTCTGTGGAGGGCTGCACATTTTCCTGTTTGTTTTTTATAAATCCCAAAGTTTGCTTAGATAGTGGCTTCTGCCTTCTCTTTGTGCCTACCCAATGTTTATAAATGACCCTCCCCTCCACCCGATGGAGTGTAGACAGGGGAATGAAGTGGAATTCTGCTGGGCTTGAACTGGACCTGAATCTGGAGGTGAACGTGGTGGAGGAGCAGCAACTTCGCACTAAAATGACAGCTGATAGCTGCAGAGAGGAGATCCGATCTAAAGTTTGACACCGACTACATAATTGGCTGATGGAGATCATTGCAAAATCTGGTTGGTTTAACTAAAGAGTGAATGCCTGTAGTAAGCTGATTAGAGAAGTGGGAATAGAGAAAGAGTTGTGAATGAATGAAGCATAAAGATAGTCCTCCTTGTTCCGAAACAATGATCTTGTCCCTTACCTACAGATTCATTCATATGCAGATATCTGTTTATAGACATAACTGAGTTGCTGCGTGTCCACGGCTGGTGTCCTGTGCTTCTCAGTCTGGTTTCTTGCGGTTGTATGATAAAGAGGGATTGCTCAGTGCTTCGTCACTGGTGAATGTGAAATCACTTTCCGCAGACAAATTGTTGACATGGCTGACATGTTCTCTATGGCGGTTGGATGTTTGTCAGTGCGCAACGCTAGTCCTCCTTAGTCCTAATTGTTGGGGCCTTCTGAATGCATAGGCCCCTAGGATTGTTTTGTTTCTCCACTTAACTTTCAAATCTTCAGAAGGCTCCATGCCCACCATTCAGACAGCAGGGAGTAAAATTCTTTGTATCTTTGTCTTCGCTGGAGAATTCAAATGTAGCTGCACAGTTATGCAGTATTTTGTTGATCTTTCAAAAGGAATTTATGATGATGTAAGTTTAAAAAGGAAAACATTGCTAATAATTTATTTACATTTGTCTGTCTTTCTTCTCTCCCTCTTCTCCCACTTCTTTGTAATCAGTATGAGCATTTACTCTTCAGTAAACCAAACAGATTTCGCTACAGTCTCCATCAGCCAATCATATCGTTGCTGTCAAACTTTAAATCTGTTCTCCTCTCTGCTGCTGTCAGCTGTCATGTGATGATGGGATATGATTGCCAAAGACTCTCTACATTTCTCATCTTTATTATGCACATGTCAATAAATATTGTTCACTCTTAATGAAGTCTCTCCTAATTGAAGTCTCTTGTATATGCAAGTAAATAGTGCTGAAGAAAAATGACAGATCTGCTGTGAGTCAAAACAGAGGAACACTTCTATTTCATAAGACAGGTGCGTAGCAGGACGAGTGGATCAAAAGCTGCAGTTTGATTATTGTTACTCGACATATGTATACATTGGTGTAGTGTTTGGACATTGGAATTTTGGTGAGGCCTTGTTTTATTTATTATGAAGGGTTCTATGTATTTATTGATGCAGATTTTTCACTCGCCATGTAAATATATCCCTACAGGTTCACCTGCAGTGTTTGGGAATTCTTTCTAAAAATGCAGTTTAACCTTTGATGCTTTGAGCATATATTTTGTAGTACAATCAGGGTAGGGAAGTCAGAAAGTGTTGAGAGATTGACTACCCCATCACTGTGATTTGTTGACAGTAAGAAAAATATAGAAAGACACGAGCCTTATCTTTTAATCTAACGTGCGCAGGGTTCTATGTATGTTAACCAAGGGGCTACTATTCTATAGTGAGGCTAAACTAGGGGTTGCTAGGCTATGGCATGGAAATGGATGGGCTACGGAAATGTTTGAACTTTAAGGCATTTAAGGAGACTGCAGCAGTGAATGGATGGACAAACCCACTCTGTTGCTCTATTTAGTTTGTGCTACCTAGCTCAATCAATAGTGCTGAGCCCATACAATTCTCCCAGGTTAGCCTCACTTGTCTACGGTGATGCAGAACTCCAAGTATTCACTGAGCAAACACAAAAAGCAAATCCACTGTTTCAGGAACAGCAGGTATGTGCTGTTGGCTGGTTATAATTCAAATCATTCCTTTCCAAGTAGGCTAACATAATGAATACATTCAGTTTGGCTGTGTAGTCATACTGTGTCTGCAATCTATGTACAAGTATACCTCTATTTCAACTTAAGTACTTCAATATATTTCTACTTAGAAAAGTATGTTGCACAAATTTCATTACTTAAAATGCTTGCTGTTATTAAAGAAAGATAATAAAATAAAGATAAATTTTCACATTCAACCAGATAATTCATCAAAAATAACTTTGATTAAAATACACTGTACAGAAATATTACGAAAAATAAAAATATCACACTGTGGCTACAATAACAAATCCAATTTCATTCAATGGTCATCTGCTACAGACAGATAATTAAATCAATGAGCTTCCAACTGTCAGTTTTGATTTTTATAACAATACAATAATCTACACCTGTTAAACCAACACATATACAGTATATATTATGCACTTGCTGAATTAATTTCTATTGTACAATAGCTGTCCTAATCATTCTTATATTGGCAAGAAAGACCACCAAAAGTACATACTGCTTTTAAAACAAACAAAAAAAACTCCAACTGAGTCCCACTACGTTCGTATTGTCGGTAAATCTGCTGTACACTTACCTAGTTCACAAACAGAAAAGAATGCAGTATAAGTGTACCATTCATTAGGCAGGGCCACTCCATCCTGGTTCGCTCATGTTTTCATGGTGCAAATAGGAACCACGATGACCAGGATCACAGTGCAGGTAGCGGCTGCGATCAAGGCCATGATCTTACACACCTTAGCCCTCCTGAACTCTGCTTCTTTCTTCTTGAGCAATGAGTCAAAGCCTGGTGTGTAGATGTCCTCCATCCAGTAATCCAGGTTGTTGGGGTTTTGGGACTCCTGGGTCTGATAAAACAAACACTATGTAAAAATGATGCACAGGTCTGAGAAAGGTTGCATTTCATCAAGACAAGACAGTTGGCTACTAAGAAACAGTAACAGATGCACTGCCTGATTTCATGATATTGTTCAAGAATATAACATTTTGACCAGAGGAACCAGGGTGAAAACATAGGACCCAGGTGAAAATTTTACTTGACACTACATTAGTTATTGGGGGTTTTGAATTAATGTGGGAATTAGACCATTTTGATATAGGTAAATCCAGGGTTGGGCAGTAACGCATTACAGTAATAATATTACTTTTCCCAGTAACTAGTAGTGTAATGGATTAGTATTTCCAAAACAGTAATATTATTACAGTCACTAATCCGAGTAACCATGACTGCACGGCAGCTCAGCTGCACCGGGCCTTATGTAGTTCAAGTCAGCTATTAGCCAAAAACTTAAGAATGGAGAACGAGGGAGAGAGGTGTTCTTTCCATGTTGTTGTTTTTCAAGTTCCTAAGTTTTCACATTAAAAGTGCAGCTGTAAGGGAAAAAACCCTCCTCTACTGTAGGTAGTAACAGCATGAAGTCTTAACTTTCAATGACAATAGCTTAACAGCACTAGAAAAAATGGCAAAGTAATAGCAACTTGAATTAGCGAATGTAAACAGTTTCTGTTAGAAAGCGACAGTTAAAGCAACAGATTAGTGAGTATGACATGTTTTTCTGATGGAATTAGTGCAGTGTAAATATACCGAGTAATCCCAGGCTTCATTAGCAACCTCCCTTTATTCATTTATTAATTACTTTACTTTTGCCAATGGATATCAATAACAACAAGGGGATTCACTGAATGACAGTAAATATAAACAAGAAATGATAAATGCTTTGAAAGGAGTAAGTTATCTATCATTTTTAAACACAAAAAGTGCTAACGAGAAGAGTCAGCAGAGGCATGAGAGGAGTCAATGAGTGACCACTAATTCAACCAAGGATAACATATGATGCTGGATTCTTCCTAATCTCCCCCGTCTCACACCACCAACTCTCTCTCTGTGCACTCTGTATTGTATTGACTGCACTTTGCACTCTGCATTTTGATGAAAAACTAGTGACAGGACACAGGAGCTCTTTTTTGTTGTTGTGTTGTTGGGGTGGGAGCATTTTGCCTTAATTAGTCTGGGACAGGAGAGAACTGATGAGGGACAATATACAACAAAAGTCCCTAGAAGGAACAGAGCCTGGCACATTGCTGACTACACCGTCTGCATCTTAAATGCCTAGGCCACCAGGATCCACAAGTGGGCTCTTTTTCAAACTAAAATTAAGGCTGACTGAGTTATAGAATTTCAGTGAGCTATACATAGGCTATATCTCCAAGTCAATAAAGTGTAGCTACCATTTTATTCTTTAGCAGAAGAGTGTAGAAACCTTCTTTGGAGCCTGGTTGTGATGAGAACATAGTTACAAGAGTCTAAACCCACAAAAGAACCCGGCTCTGCAACAGAGATATTAAATGATGTTTTCCAATCTGCTCTGTAATGGCTTTGTTGAATACAGTGCAGAAAAAAAACATTCTTCTTTATAAGGCATCCAGCTATATATGTCGGAGGTCACACGCCTCTGCAGCAAGTAGAGGTTAAGTATCTTGCTCAGAGACACATTGATGGCTGTATTGCAGTAGGAATCGAGCCCATGTCTCCCACACCATTGGGGTGCCGATGGTGCAGTGACTATTTTGCACTCGCTGTCTACTCCCCTCCTGGAGGTGTCATGGTTCTGACTGTTTTTTGGAACTGTATTACAATATCACCTTCAAAACAAAGCTATTTGCTGTTGTTTTTGGCTGTTTGTACTTGTGTCCTGTGCTTTTGCAACCTCTATGGATTGAATAAGCTCCTGGTGTAAACCTTCCTCCCACAGTACAAAAAATTATTGGAAACATCTGAAAAGTTTGCACTGCTTGCAATAATTAAAACAAAAGATATCACAGGTAACAGGAACCAGGAGAGATGGGATGTAACACTATAGAACTCACCCCCCCAACCCCCACAACAAAACAATACCATAATGTATTGAAGTTTCTGTAGGACCCCTCCTCCCTGCAGCTCTGGCTGACATGTCTTGGTTTGAAATCTCACGTTCATTATGCATCAATCAACAGTGGTCATCAATGGATGCTCTCATTGTTAATAAGTAACATTTTTTCTCTTTACTTGTAAATAAATTTTGGGATACGTAAGGGGAGAGGCAGCACTTGCATTACATTTCCTCCTTAATGTACTCGAGCCATTAGCTGTACCTACTTAACCTTTAAAGAGTCGCAGAGGGCTGAAGCCTATCCCAGCTGACACTGGGTGAGAGGCGTGGGCATTGCAAATCAGTTGTATTTCTGTGTAAATTGTTGGAGCCGATATGATGGTTCACTTTCTGTGTGCCAGATTTCCTAACAGTGTTGGATGTCATTTGTTTTGTTACTGCCCCACTTTCTGATTTGCACTAACAGGATGGGCATATTTCTACATCAAATTATTGCCTGGCACAGGTGTTGTTTGTTTACATTTGTCTTTTAGACATGTTTCCAGCTGGTTTGGTCCAGTCTGTCCTTGATTTTCATCCATTGTCAGTTTGTTGTTGACACAAGACAAGCAGGGCTTAGCATGTTTCTACAACACAGTGTGTCTTTAGATACTGGTCTGGTCTTATGCAAGTGGACTGTTTTTTGCTGCTGAGCTTTATTTACACTCAGTGGTCCAGTGTGTCCACACAAACAGCAGCTTGTCACAGCCAGAACATAGCCTGTGTTGAGTATGAATGTATTCAGGATACTGGCCCCCCTCCTGAGGAATACACTTCTACACAATGTACATCCAGTGTCCAATGCCAATATAGGTAGTAGTATGTGGTTTAATGGGAGGTCTGATTTTTACCCTGAAGATGAGAGTTTAGTGTTTTTTGTTGTTTTTTAAAAAAATGTGACTGCCATTTTTGTCATTATTTTGTTGCCTAACCTTAAAGAATGGCATGGCACCATCATGGTTTGGTATCTAATACCAAATGCTGTAGAAGATACTCATGCAGCTTAAAATATTGACATTGGTTATAATCTAAATTTTTCCAACAACAATCCAGAGTCTTTAAAATAAGCTTAAAGCCCCCCTCCTGCCGTTTTTGGTTAACGTTCGTTCTCAAACAGAGCACACGCTACCCACTACGTTTTATGGTGCGCTTACTTTACCATGGGGGTGTGGTGGGTTACCCAGAGGTAAAATGCGCAATAAATAGAATAAATAAATAAGTCCTTAGTGAAATAAATATGCAATAAATATAGGTTATTATATACAAGTGATTAGATAATACATGTGAAATGAATAAATGAAATGAAAGTATAAATGAATGCTTTTATGTTGAAAAGATCGCTTGTAAACATTGATATCATCCAATACAAGGGCATATTGTTATTGTGGCATTAGCCTATTGTGTTACTGTGAGTGTTACTACACCGTAGCCAATAGAATGTTTAGACCCCCGTCTCAGCCGTTTTGCCAGTTAGGGAGACCGGAAGTGACGCCAATGTAGCTGAATCATCGTAGCGGTACATTAATTATAAACTTTGTGTTAATATTTAATTCTGTGACTTATGACTGTAACCAATACAAAGAAATACTAGAGAGAGTCTAATTCGGAGGGCATGTTCAAGCTTATGTGCCGAACCATTGCACTGGTGAGTTTGTTTTGTTCTGCTAGCCTAAATGCTAATGTCCGCCATTGTGTGCCCATTGTTCTCAATGTAAACAGCGCTTGTAACCGTGGCTGCTGCTAACTCGAAGCTAACGGCTAAAGTGTATTATCCTTGTTAACTTACTAAAATGTCTTTAACGATAAAACGGAATATTTTTATTGTGTTCCGGACTACTACCAGTGGTGAGTGGAGTAGCTCCGTCAAGTTGTATGTTTTGAAACGGTGTTTTATGTCGAGTTTGAAATTGCTGTATTAACCGTTGTGGCCTTACGGCCCAGTCCCTAGGACCCCGCTTAACAGCCGTTAGTGGCTGTTGAGACATTTAATACTAGTGAATGCTATTGAGGTTGGATTTTCATACATTTCATTCATTCATTCAGGGCTGTTAAGTGTATTTTGAATGTACATCTGTGTATTTGTTACATCTTTGTATTGTTATTTTGCACCTTAGTGATAACTATGTATTATGGTTATGCACTTTATTTCAAAATGATAGTTGATATATTGAGAAATTTAATATGTTGTACAACTGAACTAGAAACATGATACTGTGATTTAGTGATATTGAGTTTATTGATAACAGCCTTAGCCTATGACAATGTCAACAGTGTTAGCTCTAAGGTTGACCTGTTCCGTATAGGTCAGGTTTTTTTGGGAGATTGCGGTCTGGTGGAGTCTAGACTGGCGGTGGAAATCCTCAGAGAACTTGGAGAACTTGGAGAAACTGTTCCAGTACTGGATGGCGAGCCAACCCCCACTTGATAAAGAGCCCGGTTGTAGCCAGAAGGTTGCAGTCTAGAGACCTTACGCCGGAGAACCTTGATCTATTACCCCTTGGCCCAAGGGGTCAGGTAGAACCTTGTGCACATTTGCTTTCCTTGGAAGAGGACCATTACCTTGCGCATTGATCCACTATCAGTGACTGTGAACTTTATTCTATTTTATTTTGAGTGCACTCGCAATCTTTTTATTATTTTGATACTTTTTAATTTTCTACTTTTATATATAAATATATATAAAATATATACAAATTTGGTAGTTATCCCCTTATAGACGTGGCCAGCCACTGAGTAGTTGGTTACAGGTGCCTCCGCCAATGCATTGGTAAAACGGCCATCAGTAAAATGCTTGTTGCAGACTGTATATAAGACGGTGCCAGGTGAAAGTGTGACGCATTTTCTGTCATCTGTCCTCCAACACCGCACACACAAATGCCATAATGAAAATGAACAGCACACTAAACCAAGATGAGGAAACTAAAAAATAAAATGAAGAC